AGAGTTTCAACAGAGTGGCTTGAACAATATTCACAATTTGTTAAAGAATGAATGAGGGTAGAAATATGAAAACATTAGATATGTGGTACTCTTTAAAGATTTGGGGCAATAAGTGGGAGAAATTGTATGGAGAAAGGAAATAGAGAATGTTCTGGGGAATTTTTAAGGAACACTTTTCTTTTCCTTAAGAACAAAGAAATGGTAAGAATGAAAGAGATCTGAGCAGGTTAAGGCTGGGGATAGGGTAAGGAAAAACACGGGATTGAAAGTGCAAAAAAGAAAGATAGATTGATGTACTTACATTTATATTGTCTTGAAATGCTATTTTTGGAGGCAGCGACTCCAGAAAGACTAGAACCCTTTCAGAGTGACAATCACCTGTCTTGATTCATGAAAACAATTTCACAAATAAATGCGAAGAGGAAAAAAAGGCAATTCGGAAAGAAGGAAAAGAGGAAAGAAATACATTGTAATATCAAAGTAGGACAACTAGTCCATAATATAAAAAGCAATGTTCTAGTCTATATATAATGTGTATTTTTTGAGTCTCTTACTAGTGGTGATTTTTTTAAAGCTAGAAATCTTGTCTAATATTTCATGGTTTTCATCCAATACCCAGCACAATGCTACAAACAGGTATTTCTTAGTTTTTCAGAGTATGTGTGTGTGTATACACACATATATACACATATACATAAAGTTTATACTGTATCAAATACGCTTATATTAAAAATTGAAGAGTTAATAAAAGCCCTACATTTTATTGTCATACTAAAAAATCAAAGCTTATGGATATAAGCTTCTTCATCAAATCTTTACCTTTCTCTCCACCCTTATTTCTTAGAAAACTTTATTAGATCCTACTCTGAATATATAAGAACATATGTAGTAAGATTGCTCAAGAACTTGCTTGACAGACACCTGAAATAGTTTTGTTATTCTTTCTATTTGTGTGTGTGTGTCTCTGTGTGTGTGTTTTATTGGTGCCCTACCCATCCCTTATTACCAATATCCTGAATTTATTTCCAGGCTCTGAAATATCCATTTGGATCAGAGGGGCCTAGATATATATTTACTACAGGACAATATGAATTAGGACACCTAAAATGCGAGCCCGACCAACTCAACAGGGCAGGTGCCAGGATGGAAGGGGCCCTGGGATGGATTCTGGGTCTATAGCAGCAGAGTCCGTGAATCTCCTATGTTAGTAAATCCTCTCATTGACTGGTCTCTTATCAAACAAATATTATTCTTCTCAGAAAGCTTATGTATTAAGGCTTGAATATTAAAAGGCAATCCAAGGCATACTTTAGATAAATCACCACATTTCAGACAGATTTCAAGTATATCTGTATTTTTATAAAACATACAACATCCTAACTCTAAAAAAAAAAAAAGTCTTCATTTAGTTTAGAGTGGAAAAAGAGATATTTGGAATATATCAGCCCAACACAAAAAAGAATATACTTAACATGCCTTTGAAAATTGAGATTTTCAATGCCTGTGACCATTAAAACACAAAATCAAGATGAATTGGATGTCCAATATGATGTACATGTTGCTTTATCAAAACCACCTTGGTGTTTATGTTCATAATCACTTCTCAATTTGTTTCATAGTGCTAGAAGAACCCTGATACCAAAACCTAACAAGAACATTTAAAGAAATGAAACTACTGACCTATATACTTAATGAACAAAGACACAATTATCCTCAACAAAATATTAGTAAATTGAATTCTGCAAAATATACAAGGAGTGCCACATCATGGCCAAGTCAGTGATGACTTTCTTTCAGGTGAAGAATAATCAACACCCTCTGTTATGTTTATTTTTTCCTTCTTTAAACTGAATTTATCAGAAGCACTTTAAATTGCCAAAGAGAGGCGTGACAAATCAAAGAAGCTATCTAAAAATATATGCTTTTTTAGCTTCTTACAGATTTTTGAAGAAGAAGAACAACAGCAACAAAAAAGAACCACCCTGCTGATATCACTTATAATATGAACAAAAATAATCAGGCATGGGTTTTATGAACTGAGACTGTTTATTTTTTGTATTTTATTATTACAAAAAGTTTGTTCAAATTTAGAGATTAAAAGGTTACATGTCAAGTGCCCATAGTCTACTTAGTGAAAGCTTTTGAACAATATTATATAAATGTTAACTTCTTCCATTGTTATCACTTTACGTTGAATGCAAAGAATTCACACAGAAAGGAAAGCTTCACAGCCGAAATATTTTTAAAGGATGTACTTAAACTTACTTTTCCAGCAACTTGACTTCACTTGACTTGATTAATTAGCCATCAAAGTTCTTTATTTAGTTTTTAGATTCCTTTTAATCAAGACTGAGACTTGCTTACGAAATTCTTAAAGCTTTCTCTGAA